TGCAACAATCCCTAGCACAATAGTGGCTTTTTAGGCTTGCAATCAAATTAATGTATAGACAGTTTCAGTGTCATTAACAAGGCTAAAAAAGAACAACAACAACCAATGCTTTAATGCTATGTACGTAATTGAAGAAAGTCAACTTGAAAGAGCGGGGCATAATTGGCTGTGGAATTAAGGCCTGCAAAAAATGCATCGTTTCTTACTAGGTTGCCAAATAAGCAACCAACTAATTAAACGTGTGTAGTCGAAGAAAGTCAGCCTGAATTATCGCGACATAATTAGCCCTGGAAAAATGACGCCAGCTACATAAAAAATATATATTGTTTCTTTTTTTTGAAGACCAATCTCTGAAGATTATAGGATAATGTTGCTAATAATTAACATGAATAGTTTTAGCAAAGGGTGTAGCCCACTTTAAAACTATTGTAATAACACACACACCTTATATATAAGGGTTTTTTTTTATAATGACGAAATTGTGCTTGGCCTTCGGACTAGTTTTGTCTCATTTTCTCATGTCCCTGGTGTGTATAGTCGGAAAAGTTTAATGGATTGTTTAGGGAAAATGTAATACGTCATATAAGCAAAGAGAACTGAATACATGTACTTTCACAAAATACCTTAAACTATCGTCTATTCAGATCTAAATTACAAGGCTTATAGGCCATTTTGCATCTCGCGGAGAGACGTTTCTGACAGTTTAGATCTCGAAAAGCGCTCCAGTCCTTTTACTTACAGGCGTGAAACGTTTTGCGGATTCCGTTTAGAATTAAATTACAGCAAAAAAAACATTTATTCCATGAGAATACATATGAGTTATTCGTCTGCCTTTCTTTCTGTATGTCTGTTTGTCTGTCTGTCTGTCTGTCTGTCTGTTTGTCTGTGTCTGTCTGTCTGTCTGTCTGTCTGTCTGTCTGTCTGTCTGTCTGTCTGTCTGTCTGTCTGTCTGTCTCTCTCTCTCTCTCTCTCTCTCTCTCTCTCTCTCTCTCTCTCTCTCTCTCTCTCTCTCTCTCTCCCTTTCTCTCTCTTTCCCTCCCTCTCCCTCCCTCTAGTCATTCATTTATCTGTCTCTTCTCTCCATCCCACCCGTGCCTCTCTGTATCCCTCTCTACCTTCCTCCCGTTGTAGTTCGTATTACTCTTTACTCCTTATTTCCTGTGACTCTCACCTCAAATTATCCTGTCATTGTCCTTCCCTTCAACCAGGCAGAAATGTCAAAAATTTCTGAGATCAAAACAAAGGAATCAAAGAAAACTAAAATTCGCCTTGGTGTGGATAACAAATAAGTGATGAAATTAAATGCGAGGCAGCGTGGTGGAATCAGGCTCTCGTCAATTTTTTGGGCATATAGAGTTATTGGTATCATCTTAAAGCTTGTTAAATGGTCTTTGTTTTGATGGAAAAAAATCCATTAAACTTGAATACAAGTCGACATATTTGCGAAAGAAGAAGGTTGAGGTCACCTGTTTTCAGAGGTAAAATTGGTGAGGAAATGGCCGCCAAAGACTAGTGATTTCCTTAGCTTAAGAGTCCGTGGTAACTGAAAATTTACATTTTTTGTGCCTTTAATCGACGTTTTTCAGAAAAATTTCCTCAAAAATGAGTTCTTTAATAAGCATGGAAGGAATTGAGCCAAAAAATAAAAATTTGATAAAAATTCATAAACCTGCGGAAAAATGCAAGTTTCTTCGCTTTGATTATTTTGACGAGAGCCTGATTCCACCACGTTGACTCACAAATACTTATCTCAGGACATTATCACGATATCACGGTTGCAGAGAATTAGAGTGGAAAATTAAGATGTGGTGAGCTTGCATTTATTTAGCGCTTGCGAGAAGCAAGTACATACTTCTGTACCAGCGTGAGCACTCGTTGGGGGCATACTAAAACAAAACATAATTTGCTCATTCACTGATCTTATTTCACTGCACTGCGATTGTTATGTTTCTTGAATCACGCGACCACGATTGATAGGAGGGTACTATTACAGGTAGGACTTGCTTTTTTATTTATTTCTCTAATTTTTCTCTCTATCTCTGCCATACTCTTTTTCAGTGTTGAATGGCCGTCACTGTGATGATGTGCCTCCTCTTTACACAACTAAAACTTGTCCCCCTTGGTGATTAAATCAGTTTCTTCAGTGAATCGGTTGGTTATTTTGTTCTCAATTCACCGTAAGATCCATTTTCGTGCCAAAGATGTGTATTTTCAAAGCTTGATAAACTTTCCAAACATTTGTGCCGATAAACCAAACCGGTAATTACTGTACGCACCACCGATGTTTAATCAGTCTCGCCTCCATGTGTTTGAACAACGCGATCCATTCCTTCAGTTGTCTCCCTGCTGGTCCTGTACGCATTGCCTCTCAGTGAAATCGAAGACTGTTGCTGCTATTAGTCCTCCGAACATCCCAGTCGCTGCTGACCCTAGCTGGAGCTTGATGAGTCTATTATTGCAGATCAGTGGTCAGACACGCCAGGGATGGTGACGGATTGTTTGCTCTCTGTTGTTTCCAACGATCTCCTGACTATATTCCTCTTATCTCGGAGGTCAATGACCTCTGTCTGCTGTATAGACTTGTTCGGGCGTGCGCAGGCTTTATCATGGCTTTTCTTGGATGGATATCGTGGCCTTTCTTGGCTGGACAAAATAGTGAACTAACGTGATTAAAGTGATAGTTGTGTAAACTAAACTAGCGTCTTTCTTATCGGAAAAGCAAAGGGATATCCGTTGAGACACTTTATAGTAATCAACATCCCATTTATAGTAACGGTTCAGTTAAGAAACATTTCCTTCACTGAGGAAAGGAAATTGAAAACTGAGGTCTCTTTCTTTTGTTAGTAGCTTCAATCCTCAGAACAATAGCCCAGAAAGATAAGTAAATTTCGTCCTTGTTAAGCAGAGAAAACTCTGGATGCGAGGACGTTGGTGGTTTCAAAACATGTATTCACGTTCACCATTTCGGGACACAAAACAGTTTCTTCCTCTGCGGAGAAAGAGAATCAATTAGTTTTGAGCATGCCTGAAAGTCAGCTGTTCGAAGTTGAAATTCAATGAGCGCGATTTGTCTCATGGCTCTCGAAACGATCCTTTCATTGTCCCTATAGTACTATGTCCCAAAACCCACAATTATAAGACCCCGAAAACGATATAAATATTCTGCTTCCAGCACGGCTTTGAACTCAGTGCAAAAGGAAATATTGCAGTACAAATTCATTGAGAAGATAATAGAATATTATTACATAAAAACAATAATGCAATGCCTTTACTGAAAAAATCAGAGATTTGTTATCGGGGTTGTTTGGTTGTGTTTTTTTTGGTTGTTTGTTTGGTTTTTTGTTTTGTTTTTTTAAAGTGGGGGGTGGGGGGGGGGTTAAAACGAATGGAGTAATTTTCACCTCATTCCAACGGAATAATGTTTGTGCTCTGTACTAGTTATTGAAAAAAACCCAAGAAAATAGTGTAAAATAAAACTAATGTTTCTGTTTAGGCTAATTTCTATGGAATATGTCCCCGATTACACTAGTTATTAAAATGTATGTCTTTGCCCTCTCACTTGCTTTTTTACGATTGTTGATATACATAATAATAATATTATGTAGTGTGACGGCTTGGCTGTACTAGAGCCGCTGAAAACAAAAGACGCGACTTCGAATACTGCATGAAGACATTATTGTGTCGAGTACGGGTGACTGCTGGTCATCTCCCTCTTTCTTTGTCTCTCTGTCTCTGTCTGTCTGTCTGTCTGTCTGTCTGTCTGTCTGTCTGTCTGTCTGTCTGTCT